AGATGTATTTTCCAGTGTATACCCACAATTTCTCAGGTTATCAGCAGGGGTTATTTCTTTGTTCATCAGCCGCTCATAACAATTGGCATGGTTATGTTTGAGTTCAATCATGTACTCACAAAAAATACAATTAAAAAATAGAAAAGGAATAAGTTTTATTTGTATTCCAGATACTTTCTTTATTCTTTACTGCATTATTGGAGTGATGTTAAAAAAAAACATGTAAATATGTTGCAGTGAATCTAGTGATCTATGTCATTCATTTACTGCCATTCAACAGCAAATAGAAACGTTGAGTTCATCTGTCTACTTACAAATCACAAAGGCATGAATCCACTGAGCCTCTTGAGCAGTGATTTTCCTTGATGACACTGTTATCTCATACACACAGCTGTAGTCGGCATCATGTTCAAGGTCAGCTACAGGAAAACTCAAGGAGGCTGAGTTGTTGACAGATGTCATGTTGTATTTCATATTAGAGCGAGTAAAGATGAGAAAGAAAACAGCTCCTGTATAGTGTACACTAGTTGTGCAGGTGAAGATGAAGCTGTAACCCTTGATGATTTCTGCACCTTCAGGAACCTTGACCAGTCCTCCATTTGGAGACGTCACAGAGATACTGGGCTGCTCCAGTGACACTGAGAACAAAAGAAACAACAAATACAAGAGAACAAGAAACTATAGTGAAAAAGAGGTACCAACTAATGGCAGAAAATCTCTATACCACTGATTTAATGTCATAGCTTTCAGCCTGTCAGGGTGGCACTGAAGGAAAAAGAGGGAGTGAGGTTGGGGAAGGACTTGCATATTTCCGCAAGACAATACTATTCATGTTAGAGGAGTCCGGGAGCTGACTCCCTGCAGTACAGTCCTTTTCCAAAAGTCAAGCAGCTAATCCCCTCAGTTCACAGATACTTACAGGCTGTCTGTTACAGCTCTAACACACCTGTGTTGTGCGACCTTTGCTCTCTCCAGGACCCAGGTGCTGCTCGTTGTCTTTTCCCTCCCTTTGGATAGACAAATTTGTGTTGTGGTTTTCCTTTCTTGTTTTGATATTGATATAATGGCATTGGGGTCTCTTTGTGTTAAGAATAAAGTCTATGATTTTACCATTTCTGCATTTTTTCCATTTCTTTCTTTCTGTCCAGGCTTTATTCATTGTTGCTCCCCCCATACACTCCCCCAGACTTCCATCTTGGGGACGTAAGACTGTTAAAAGGTGAGGGGATGCTACACAGTGGTAAACATGACCCAGATTTTAGGAAGTAAAAATGAAAACTATTTTTCTTATTTTCGTATTTTTCTTACAATCGTATATTTTCTCAGGTCAAACACTCTTTCAGTGTTCAATTGTAAATATAATATCGGTTTATGAAATTTGCTAATCATTGCTTCCTGTTTTTACTTTGATTTTACACAGCAGCCCAACATTTTTGGAAATGTGTTGTACTTGTTTCTCCATAGCTATTGTCTATTACAGCTCACTCAGGCAAACTCCTGCGTAGATGAATATTTTCATGGTTTGCAGATAATATAGTCACATGAATATGATTAAGATCATGTCAGTTTTTATTTATTAGTCGCAGTATATATTGGCATGCAATGGAATTTAGTTCATGCCCTCAAAGAGATGATTGGGGAGTGAGTGTTGCTGGTATTTCTTATCTTAATGGATGTGATGTCATACTAATAACCTGTAGTGGGTGTAACAAGTACACAGTATTGGTCCTGTCAAAGAAATCACTGTAATATAAACAATAGTACATTTTATTACCAATAACAGAGATGTTAGCAGAGTCACTTGTGGAGATGCTGGAGTCGTGTGAATATTCACACTGGTACAATCCATCACTGTCAAAATCTACTTGGGGGATCTTGAATGTAGCAGAGTTGGTAGTTGATGGTTTTGTCTGACTGAATGAGCCTGAAATCTGCTTCAGAGTAAATTCTCCTTGTAGGAGCTGTTGGCTTTGAGGTGATATTGAACAAGTGATGCTGAGATCACTTCTCCACTTAACTTTATTAGCAGGATTCATGGAGATTCTGGGCTTTGGGAGGATCACTGAGGAAACATCAGTCATGGAGAGATGATTCAATTAAAAATGGTAAAACATTTACCTTATTATATTAATAATATAATAAGAAACAATTAAATTTTTCACCTGAGCAGACAACACCAGCATCCTGACTGTGTGTACAGTCATGTGTCCCAAATCCTCTGTGCTGACACTCAGTCAGAGATCTCTCACTTCCTGAACAGGACACATCATCAAGCCAGATGGATCCACTTCCCTCACCAAAGCGGGCTGATACAGCAGCACTCTGTGCCGTTCCACAGCCGAGCTCTCTGCAAACCACCTCAGCATCATTTATGTCCCAGTTATCATCACAGACTGTTCCCCAAATGTTGTTGTAAAAGATTTCGACTCTTCCAGAGCACAAAGTGCTTCCAGATAATCTGACTGGCACACCTGGGCACAGTGAGCATAACATAAAACAAAAACCTTTTTTATGGAATGAGTGTTATTCAGTGTGGAATTAGTTCATGACTACACTCATTTACTCACTCTGCATGCTGAGCTGCTCACTGATCATAAAAAACTACTAAAGAACAGTTTTATTTATGTGCTTCAGTGTTGAATGTTATCATAAGATGTTCCAATCAGATAAAATATTATTGTTTTGACAGTTCACACTCATGATGTTGCTGCTTTCCAGCACTTTGTTTGCCAGATATTTTTCATGGTCCTGGATCTTCGTCCCAGTGTTTTGAGTTGCGATCACGTATTCTTAGTTAAGAGTATTCTTAGCTTCGTATTCTTGTTTTGTTTTGTTTTGTTTTTATTTACAAAGGAAAAAACAAAAAGAAATTCAGATTTGCAACTTGGAAGCAAAGCAAATTAACTTGGTACAAAAGTTGGACCGCTACATCATAAGTTTCACAGGAAAAGCTTTAAGTTTCATGAAGGAAGTTTTCTTTTTGCTTTTTGCAAAAAAATGGGAGAAACCCGTGAAAGATTTTGACAAAGAAAGATGTGATGAAGCTACTTTTCTGCTAAACATGTCAGAAACACTGAAATGTACCTCGTCACACAAATGCAGTAAGAGACACACACCATAAGATGATGAAATGATTGCAATACTGTAAAAATATTCTAATATGTTGATTATGTCTTTATAATGATTATTTCTTTTTACCTGAACAGCTGACACCAGCATCCTTGCTGTGTGTACAGCTGTGTATCCCAAATCCCCTGTGCTGACACTCAGTCAGAGATCTCTCACTTCCTGAACAGGACACATCATCCAGCCAGATTTCTCCTCTTCCTTCACCAAAGTGAGCGGACTGAGTGGCATTCAGGGCTGTTCCACAGTTTAACTCTCTGCAGACCACCTCAGCATCATTTATGTCCCAGTTATCATCACAGACTGTTCCCCATGTTTTCTTGTAGGCGATTTCGACTCTTCCAGAGCAGCGAGTCGACAGAGAACCAGCTAATCTGATGGCTACACCTGAACACATAGAATACGCCTTTTAAATAAAAACTGTCATGTTTATTGTGGGTTTACGGCAGCAGCTATTTGCCAATCTTTGTTAGTCATTTCTGTACAAGATTTAATCATCTGAAGTTCAGTTGGAGATACAACTGACAAGACCCACATTTTTGTTTCAGCAGGATGATGAAAAACATATTTCTCTGTGGATTACAGCTGAAGAGCATTTCATTGCTGAATATGACACAATATACTTAGTATAAGAACTCATTTCAACAGCTTACCTATAATTTTGGCACAAAACACACATTGACACATCTAAACTGAGTGGCTGATAAAACAACGCGTGAAGAACTAATGAGAGCTGTACCTGAGCATATGACTCCAGCATCTTTATGGTGTCTACAGCTGCTCCCAAATTCTCCAAGCTGACACTGGGTTATAGATCTTTCATTTCCAAAACAGGCCACACCATCAAACCAGACTGGTCCACTTCCTTCACCAAAATGAGCCTCTTTAGGAGCTGCCAGGGCCGTCCCATAGACTAACTGACTGCAGACCACCTCAGCATCATTTATGTCCCAGCCATCATCACAGACTGTTCCCCAGCTGTTGTTGTGATAGATTTCAACTCTTCCAGAGGATGGGGACTGAGACCCAGCTAGTCTGATTCCTAAACAAAAGAAATATACTTGATTATGATTGTAAAGTTTAGTGTTATTTAATGAAGGCAACAATTTTAACATCTGTCAGATACATTTATCAAAGAAAATACAGTAATATGAAGTTCAACAGGAAAGAAAATGGCAATAGTAGCACAATAGCTACACAAGCTCAAGAGAGTATCCAAATACAAGACAGGTGAAATACCAAAAAGTGAGAAGTTTTTGGCTATTGCAAAAATCCAAAAGAGAATACAAAAACAAACAAACAAACTAAACCAAAACAACAATAAAAACAAATTACACTGGGAGAACACAGTCAAACCAAGGAGAAGACAGCACTAGATATAAACACACACACATGTTATTGAGCTAACAATTCCAAAGCACATCACAAGGTTAAAGTAACCTTCAAAGTAAAACAGGAAACAGCAAGTAAAAAAAGAAGAATGAATTAGCACTAAACCTAATGATATGTCATGTTGCAGGTGGCAAGTGACAATTCAAAGCTTCACTTTGGCTGTTAGCAGTGGCTCATGGTCGAAGTTTTTCATTTTACTTGAATCTCTCCCTTCCTAATTATATACTTCCATCTACTTTTTATTTTGATATTATTGGGATTTTTTGTGCTTGTTAATCAGACCTTCCTCTCTGTCACGTCCTCACTCTGTTGCTGGTACTACTGTTGACGTTGCAGCAGCAGCCCTGACAGTTAACATGTCCATCAATTTGACACATTTTACTGCATCTATTTCTTTTTTCTATTTCTCACGTAACTTTTCAGATCCACCGTTTCACCTTCTTTGTCCATCATCAACTACATCTGCCACTCTAAACTCTGTTCTACAAAGTGCATGGGAAAATAGGGGAGGGGCTAGTTGCGTAAGTAAGATTTGTTTGAGGAAACGTCGGTAATGAAAATTAAATAATCGGCTACTGTTAGTGGTTGTAAGGTGCACAGCAGCCTTTAAGTCATATTTTACATGATCCAAAGAACATCTCACCTGAACAGATGACACCAGCATCCCGATGATGTCCACAGTTGTGCGTCCCAAATCCTCTGTGCTGACATTCAGTTAGAGAACTTTCACTTCCTGAACAAGCCACATTATCAAGCCAGATGTCTCCCTTTCCTTCACCAAATTGAGCTGATTGAGTGGCTTTCAGTGCCGGTCCACAGTCTAACTGTCTGCAAACCACCTCAGCATCATTTATGTCCCAGTCATTATCACACACTGTTCCCCAACGTTTTTTATAGTAGTATTCAACTCTTCCAGCACACGGAGTGGACCCAGAACCAGCTAATCTGATAGGCACACCTAAATGCAGAAAACAAATAACCTATTTAATTTTAAATAGAGCATATAGTATATTTTGAGTTTTGATTACTTGTTAATGATGGTAGTTTCATTAGACTCATTTGTGTTTCAATTATATAACCTTTACAAACAGTTAATGACACAAATGAAAAAAATCCACATAATCCCACTGTGGTGTGACACTGGCAGCTTCAAAGTGTGATGAACAAAGAACATATTTCTCCTTGTATTACACCTCCATCCATACTGAATCATATAATTGCTCATTACTGCACATTAAGCTCACGTATGAGCTCAGGTTGATCACTCACCCTGAATTTTAACACAAAATTTACACCAACAACAAACAACACTTCTAGATGGTAAAAATAATAAGATGGTGATGAATAATCCTGAATTTATCTCACCTGAACAGATGACACCAGCATACCAAAAATCTCCACAGTAGTGTTTCCCAAATCCGCTGTGCTTACACTCAGTTAGAGAACTTTCCGTTCCTGAACAGGACACATCATCAAGCCAGATTTGTCCTGTTCGTTCTCCAAAAACGGCCTCCCGAGTGGCATTCAGTGCCGGTCCACAATCTAACTGACTGCAGACCACCTCAGCATCATTTATGTCCCAGCCATCATCACAGACTGTTCCCCAGCTGTTGTTGTGATAGATTTCAACTCGTCCAGAGCAACGAGTTGACTCATGTGGGTTGACTAATCTTATTTGAACATCTAACAAGAGAAAGAGATAATTATATAATATATTTATTAGTTTTTGATTACTTAAAATCAAAGAAGTAATAATGTTGCTGAAAGCAAAAACAGTAAAAAAAACAAACAAACCCAAATTAAATAAGGAAATTCAGTGAGGAAATGGAAAATTGTATTCCCCGTTGTTTTTTTTTAAAAGCTTCCTGTGTCTTCTTAAATTTCTTTGAAAATATGACAACATTTTTTCTTTTAAAATTCTTGAATTCAGATGTTTTTAAAGAAGTTGTTTTTGTGTGTTTTCTTTTTGTGTAAATTCGATTTACTTTAACTATCAAAATATGAAATAATAATGTACAAACACTTTTTAAACATTATATTTGTTTTTTCACCATTAGAATTTTCAATAAAAATTGGTTTAAAATTTATTCTGCTTTGTTAGACATTATTAAAGCAATGATGATGAGGATGATGATGATGATGAAGCCTTTATTTGTCACGTGCAGTTGACTGCAGTGAAACTGGACCTCTTCCAACCATACATACAATATACAAACAACACATTGGGGAGACAGGTCAGAATCGGTAGCGTAAAGAAAAACAATGAAATGTACAACACAATAGGGCAGTGGCGGAGGAAAAAGAGAACTCTACTCAGACTTAGCTCCTGATAGGGGATCAGTATGAGAACAGAAAACAAAAACTCCTCAGCACAAAAGCACAGGAATTTGATATGCTATACGGCTGAGAGTGGCCGCCCTGGGTTAAAATCTGATCCGCGGTCCTTTGTCGCATGTCGTCCCCCTTCTCTCTCTGCCCCTGCTTTCCTGTGCTTTCTTCACTGTATCTATTAAATAAAGCTGAAAAAGGCCAAAAAAGAAAAGAAAAACCTTGTTGCTCGGTCTGGTTCCTCACTGGCACTGCTGCTACTCCCCCTAGTGATGCTTCCGGACTCCCAAGCTGTGGCTTTTCACAGCAGAGGTTGGCTGTCACAGAGCAGTGGCCATTTCTTTCCACCTTCTTCTGTGTCTCTGCAGGTCCAGGGTGCTATAGACACCATGCTCAGCTCATTGGGGGGACCACGAGCATTAGGACAGGAGTGCTGAAGGTGTGCCACCCCTGCCACTCTGGCAGGAGTGTCCAGTGATGGAGGGGGCACAGGTGTTCCATGTCGCTGGACACCATCCCCTGGTCCAGGAGAGACGCACTGGGTTCCGGGTAAGGTGCCAAAGAGGTACTTGCCAGGCTATGGTGGACCCAGGCTGCAACCAGACCTGAGTCCACCAAACCCCAGTTCGTTCAGTGACATTGTTGGTCCACCTGGAGCGAGCAGTTGGCATGGATGGAGTACACCCAAAACTCGAGCATGTCAGCTGCCACTGGGATGTCCCCTTTTGACGCGTCGCTGGGGTACCAACCCCAGCTACTTTTTTATCACCGAGGGTGAGTTGGCTGACCCCTCCATTCAACAACACATAAGTCATTGCAGGCGAGCATGGCGGTCTACTGATCACACTCCTGCTCCGGTCTATCGAGTTGGCCAGAAAGGTGTGGCTCTCCTCCAGGTACATTCCCCTGAGAACTTTATCTAAGAAAATAGCTCTCCATTTCATTGGCCCGTTTGCCATACAAGCCATTCTCAATTTAATTTTTAAATTAAATTAAATTAAAATTAATTTAAAATAGTAAGAAGTGTAAGGGTTTAGTCAGGAACAATTTTGCAACCACTCAGATTTCATATCTTGATTTTGAACAGAAACGAGTGGGTTTAGTGCAGACACTCTGTGGTGCAACATCTATAGCAATTAACTTTAACATAAGAAACGATGTAGTACGGAAACTGACTTCATGCAGAGAGGACATTGCGGAGAAAAAACACCTGCAATGGGGCTGTGTGGAATTTTCAAAATTTTAGGGAAATTTTTAGAAAAGAAGGTGGACCCTTTTACTAATTACCCAGCAATAAAGCTCAGTGTGGTGCTTTAAGCTATGTCCACATCCAAGTACAGTTTTTTTCTTAACAAGTAGACCTTGCTACCATTCTCTTATTCTCTGTTAAATTAACAAATAGTAGGTACAGTTTTCTTTTTAAATGATCATGTTGTATTCATTCATTTTATACAATTCACATTATGTGTATACTACTTACAGAAAATGTTTGCATGTGAAACAACAGAAACAACAGAAAACTTCCACTAACAGAAATGGTAAAAGAGACTGACCTGTAGCAGCTGAAGATGCAGACAGATAAGAGACTGTAGCAACTGTAAAAAGACAAAAAATAATTTGTTTTTCTTCTTTGGATACGATAAATAACAGAAAATCTTTAAGAAACTTAAAGTGACTGTTAGTATACCAAAGACAGAAAATAATAAAATGATATAAAATGCATCTCACCAATGGCCAAATAGAAGACGCTGCTCTGTGTCCACATGACTGAGAAACAAAATGTTTTCTGTGTAAAATGATGCGTGGCAGAAAACTGAAGTTAAATCTGTGGTCTATGCAAATGCTTCAGACTGTATTGGTTTTCCCTTTAAACATCTGTTCATTTCCATTATTTGTCTAAATTAAAAATTACAAAGTACAACAAACAAAATCTGAGAAGACATGTAACAAAGCAGGAGAAGAAAGTAAAAACTTTGTTCATTTCATACAGTTTGGCACCTGCATGAAATAAAAGAAATACGTATGTGCGGCACTAGTTCGAGTTGAACACCTGAAATGGAATTAAAGATTACGTCTCAAACTATGTTCATCTCTGAATGTTACTGACAGGCGCTACCATCTTTGGTGCTTCTTTTCTTCCAGTTTTATTTTTCTAGTGATCACACAGAAAAAAAAAGTTCACTATTAAAGTTTAATTTTGTGTTCAGCCAGATGCAATAAAATGCATTGGTATTCTTACCAGTTCTGCGTTCACAAGAGTTAGAAAGCTGAAGTGAAGGTTACTCCTTGATAGTTGTAGTTCGCTACAGCCGTCTGAAGGCTGCAGGAATTTGTTCCGCCTACAGACTCAAACAGTTGTGATAGTGCAAAAAGCTAAACCACAGATACACAGATTAACACATCGATATTTGTGCTACACTGTTAAAAAATAAATGACTGCTAACTAAGCTACTTTCTCCACTCAGCCCCTCATGACCATCTGTTCTTGTTTTTGCCTCTCCTGATGAAGATAAAGCAAGAAACTCTTTTCTTAACAATATTTTCACATAAAAAAAACTTGTGAATATAATCTACAAAGAAGGCATTTGGATCATTGGAAAGCAAGAGCAACAAACATGATGACCACGACCATTTAACATATCTAAAAGTGCAGCACAAGGTCTCTGTCTGCCAAGACTAGTGCAAAGAAATCCAAAGGCTCATAGCAGAAATTGCATCAACAGAGAGAAAGAGATATACTATGGGGGTAAAGCACATGAAAAGGAACGAAACACTTTACACGCCAACCTCAAAGTTTTTAACCACTGACAGTTTTTTTTAAGTGGTAGATGTCTAAAACCACTAAATGTTGTGGTTTTAGACATCTAAAACCTAAATGTTGCAATTGCAACATTTAGTGGATGCATTGCATCAAACCTTGCACCAGAAAGCCAAATGTCCAATTACAGCGCAATTATATTTTGCTCAGATTTATTATTTTTTTTAACTTATCTGGCAACTTATTAGTAAGGAAGGAAAGCTGTGCATTTTTCTGCTTTTTATTTCATGTGAGGAAAATCACAGACTGAAACTCATCAACTCGTCAGTTTATTTCTGATG